CCCCCCCCCCACTTAATTGTTACGACACCTGGCGATATTTAAAGGTCTGCCCTAAATAGGCACGTGGAGTGAGGTTGATGCTCGCTCTCTCTCTCACACACACACACACAGTTACCTAGTCTCGCTTTAATTCAGGATGATTTAAATAGCAATACTCACTACCCTCCAACGCTCCATAAACAAATCAAAACAACAACACCAAAAAGCGCGCGAAACTACCCACAATGCTCATTACCAATACAAAAAAGCGCGGGAAATTGACCATAATGTATGTTAGATTTGCCAGCGTGTAATTATTGAGTTAGGTTGTGGCGGCAGGGTTGTCCTCACACACACACACGATAATACTTCTCCTTCCTAGATACGGTATAGAGTCACAGTGTAAAAACAAAGCCATTTTTTCTTCTTCCTTGTTGACTTAAGATATTTTTAAGTGTATTCTGGACGAAGGCTGTGCACCTGTATATCCGCCAACTCTCTTGTAAACACTGTAACTAGCTTATCGGTCGGTGTACCAAGACGAGGGAGGAGGCGTGTGGATTCACTTAACATAATATTGACAGGACACCGTTCTTATACCCTTATATATAACATCCCCTTCTGCCTAATGCTTGTCTAGTTGTCTTTCTGTGTTATTTAGGTTACAGATTAAATTCCTTTATTCACCGGACTTATATTTATTTAACTTATATTATCAAACTCCTCGTATGATTATTATTCTGTTTTATTTATTTATTTATTTATTTTTACCTAGATAGAGAGGTGAGGCTGTCTCTTAATTGGAGCGAGAGGGAAGGAAGGAAGGAGAGAGGGAGGGAGGGAGGGATGAGAGGAGGGTGGAATGAGAGGGAAGGAAGGAAGGAAGGAGGAATGAATGAGAGAGGAAGGTGGAGTAACAGGAGAGAGGGAGAGGTGAGATACGTTCACCCATCACCACTTGGAGAAAATATTTATCATGTGCACCTGTGAGGAGATAATTAGTTTGGCTGGCAGACAGGTGTTACGAGGTCCTGAGAGAGAGAGAGAGAGAGAGAGAGAGAGAGAGAGAGAGAGAGAGAGAATCGTTGTTGCTAATTAAAGTAAGTCAATCATGTTTTAATGACTAGACATGATGGTAGTGTCAGGCTGTGTCAGGAGGGGGGTGTTGATCTGTCATGTGTGTCAGGTGGGGTGTCACGCTCACTAACGCTTCACCATCACCACTGACAACACTCACTATCACCGTCAACACTGTCACTATCAGAACTTTAAAAGATTAATGGTGAAATTTTGTTTTGCTAATTCCTGTCACCATCAAAATGTCACTGTTAAATTATTACTGTCACTATCACTACCACTCACTATCAGGTCTTTAAGAGATTGATGGTGAAGTGTTACTTTACTAATTCCTATCACTGTCAATACATCACAATCACTATCAAAATATTAGTCACTATCGCCGTCACAGTGTCACTATCAGGTTTTTAAAATATCATTATTCTCTGTGTCGTTTTTCTATAATCACCCTTATCACTATCAGGATCTATGACGTCACTATCAAATGAACACTATGCCAGTCATCCGTCACTATCTAATCATTGTCACTACTATTTCTCACTATTAATGGAACGCTTACAATAATCAGCCTTTTCACTATCAAGACAATTTTCAGTATCGCTTTATCACAATCAATGGAATATAATTGTCATCATTTTCACAATCAATATATCATTTCACTATCACCAGAACACTTTAATGATTCATGTCACTATCAAAACATCATTATTACTGTCATTATTATTGTCAGGTCTAAGTATGTCACTATTAAGTGGTTTTAAATAGCCTTAACATTCACCATCACTGTAAAAATGTCACAATCACTAATCACCATCAGCTCTAAAATGTAATTATTACCAAAACATTAACATTACATTGTCACTATTCTTCATCATCGCCAATGCTACCGTGTATCTATCACTGTCACTTACAACACCTTTCACTATCAAATCATCATCAGTCATTAACAGTACGTATATCTCACTATCAACGTTATAACATCACTATCAACGCAACAATGTCACTACCACCATCACTGTCACTAGCAATACCTCTCACTATCAGCGCCCCAACATCACTATCAACGCTACTGTCATTATTATCGGTAAACGTGTGCCGTCACTATCAGCGCTTCGATGTCACTATTACCGCTGTTAACACTAATCGCCAAACTGTCACCATAAACGTCATTGTCACTATCAAACCTACAGTGTCACCGTCATAATCTCACTATTATAAGTAAAAAAAAAAAGCACTTATCAACGCAAGTCACTATTATGCCAAAATATCACCATGAACACAATCACTATCAAAACTATTATCATGTCACTATTACCACGGCTTTGACAGCGACTGTGGGCCACAATTACCATAAAACGTTACAATCACGGCTTTAACGTCAGTATTTACAAGTGACCGTGAGGGTAGGAGCGTTCGGGGCCAACGTGCTCTCTCTACGCTGTCTCAATGCATACTGACCAACCCTCTAAATGTGTGAACTTGAAGTGATGTGGACTAGCCAACTGTTCCTCTATAACACACGTATTTTTATTATATTTTCGACATTTCAAGATGGAGAGGATGAAGCTGGTGATAGTACGTGTATTTAATCGGTTTTTAAGGATTAGGAAACAAGTATTATCATCTGAATGAAGGTAATTATCCTCGCATGGCTACCGCGCGCACGGGTGAGTTGCCAATTGCCAGTTTGATGCGGTTGGTCACGGAGCACGGGACCATATTGCACGTAGAAGCAACACCGTGCCTGCCTCGCCGCTACGCCATACTAAAACCAAATCCCTTACAGCTGATTTTAGGCCGAAGGTGTGCGAAAAATGTCTTTCAATGGCCAGAAACAACAAACACCAGAAACACACAAGAATACACAAATGACAATCTGAAGAAAATAAAACGAGTGAGGATCTTCCCGCCGCGACTGACTCACCCGTGGCGCCAACCAGCCACCGCAAGACTTTTAATTTCTAACCTCGATGGGGGGAGCCAGGGACTTTTTTTTTTTTCTTTGTCCTTGCCACGAAAACCTGTCTCAGTTGGGTGTTGGGCGGGACGTAATAATACTAAATTAATTTCCTTTCCGGACAGGTATATTACTTATTAGTTGATGATTTTGTTTGGGGAAGGGACGGTGAGGTGACGTGTAAAGATGTTTTGTGATTTATTTTCCAGGGTTATTATTATTATTATTATTATTATTATTATTATTATTATTATTATTATTATTATTATTATTATTAAAAGTAGGGTAAACAAAATAAACATGGGAAATACGCTAAATCTATCATTTTTACGTACCCAACTCCGCAACTCTACGTCCACACGCACACACACGACGAAGATTAATTGTGATTCTATTCCTATCTGTCAGGATCTCTGTATTGCTTGTTGACGAAAGGATGACTCTCTCTCTCTCTCTCTCTCTCTCTCTCTCTCTCTCTCTCTCTCTGTGTGTGAGGTAGCGGTACTGTTGATTGAAGGTCGTGTGAAAAGTAACTTGTTGTCTTAACTTAAAGTACAAAAAATAGCATCAAACTACACTAAGAACTTACATTAACTAGATACGTTCACTTCACACGATGTAATGATAGAAAACCTAACCTAACCTGACCTAATTTAACCTAACTTAACCCCCTCCTTCCCTTCCCTACCCCCACCCTCTCCCCTCCCTCCCACCCTCTCCCCTCCCTCCCCTCATTGTCCGGGCCTTGTCACGCTTAATATGTTAAATACTGTTTTATCGCTCATCGGGGTCGACCCAGGCGCAGGTATAAGCCCTTATGAGGCAGGTCTCCTAGCCACCCATCCACCACCACACAATGGGGAGGCCTGGAGGTCCTTCGTTCACACTCAGTGATTGTGTTTCTTGGAGGGGAGGCGTGTGTGTCTGTGTGTGTGTGTGTGTGATGAAGGTGTGGGTGTGCACGTGTGTGTATGTGCACTATAAAGCTTATTTGGCCACGGTGTTTACGGTAGCTTGATCCTGACGAGAAGCGCAGTGCTCACGTTGTCAGAATATGCAAATGAGAGACATAGCTCATTTGCATACTGTATACCTGCAGCGGTTCACAGGTGAGGTGAGGTGGTGGAAATCGCGGTGTTTGGTTTGGTTTACTATTTGGGTGATAATGAATTTGAGTGTGTGTGTGGAGGGGGTTGCTCTCTCTCTCTCTCTCTCTCTCTCTCTCTCTCTCTCTCTCTCTCTCTCTCTCTCTCTCTCTCTGGTGGATATGGTGAGCCCTGTTCTCCCTCCCTACTTAAAGATGCTGAGTAGCTGAGATAAACATCTGCTCAGGTGACATCCGGTCAGTAGCTGTCAAGAGATTTTGCCGGATAACACTGACTGCTGGTAGTTACTGTGTGGGAGGGAGACTGGTGGGTGTCCTCTCTCTCTCTCTCTCTCTCTCTCTCTCTCTCTCTCTCTCTCTCTCTCCTGACCTCATGACAGTATTAATCCCAGGCGTGTAAGATTAACCCCCTGCCTACTTGACCTCACAGTGACCTCCCAAACTCACAGGTCAAAGAAGTCATAACAACAGTGGAGTAATTGGACGGCGGAAGGTCAAGTTTATCTAATGAGAGAGAGAGAGAGAGAGAGAGAGAGAGAGAGAGAGAGAGAGAGAGAGAGATAGAGACTGTTTAGCCATCTATCTATCTGTTCGCTTATCTGGCTAGAGTTTGTCTATCTATCTATCTATCTATCTATCTATCTATCTATCTATCTATCTATTCAACTATCTCTCTCTCTCTCTCTCTCTCTCTCTCTCTCTTACGTGTGAGTCTACAGGATAATGACACTAAATAATCATTTTGTGTTTACCTTTCTGTCTGTCTCTGTTTACCTGTCTGTCTACCTGTCTATCTGTCTGCCTGTCTGTCTGTCTCTCTGTTTACCTGTCTGTCTGTCATTTATTACCAACAAGCGTTTGTAAGTTCACATATTTACAACACAACACAACACAACACAACACAACACAACACAACACAACACAACACAACACAGTCTCAACACAACTCAACACAACACAACTCAACACAACTCAACACAACACAGTCTCAACTCTCCCTAATCCAAGAACATCAGGATTGGAGGCAATGTCCTAAAGATTCCCCATATGGAGTGGGGTCCTTACTACTGGGGCCTACTAGAACTGGGGCCTGCAGAACTACTGGGGCCTACTAGAACTGGGGCCTTACTACTGGGGCCTACTAGAGCTGGACCCTACTAGAACTGGGGCCTTACTACTGGGGGCCCTAGAACTACTGGGGCCTACTAGAACTGGGGCCTACTACTGGGGCCTACTAGAACTGGGGCCTACTAGAACTGGGGCCTACTAGAACTGGGGATACTTTAAATGGGGCCTACTAGAACTGGGGCCTACTAGAACTGGGGCCTACTAGAACTGGGGCCTACTAGAACTGGGGCCTACTAGAACTGGGGCCTACTAGAACTGGGTCCTCTCGTCGGCTATGGGGAGGCCTCGAGTTAACCAAATCGATTCATCTTCCCGAGTCAGTAAGTGTAATGTGGATGTGTATCCATCTTGGCCAATGGATTTCTGATGATGTGTAACGAGAATTATGCGTGTGCGTGTGTGTGTGTGTGCGTTGCGTTGTGTGTTGTGTACAGGTCGTGTTAGGGGGAGGGAGACTATAGACTACAAATGTCACACAATATCCAAAATTAATGACGTTATATGATGGATTAAAAAAAAAAAAACCTAAAACGAATATAGACGATGATATTTTTTATTTATTTATTTTACTTTTTTGGATTGGTAGAAAATTGAGAGAGCCTTGCCTACCCCCTCTGGTCACCTCCACACCCGCATCATACAATCCACAGTCCATCACCGCCACTGTTTCTATCGTTTAACTTCATAACACTATATTTGACACTATAACACTATACTGTATTGGACACTATATTTAGCATGCAGCTGGTGCAGGGGTGGGTGAGGTGGGGTGTAGGGTGGTGGGGTGGGGTGGGGTGTAGGGTGGTGGGGTGTGGTGGGGGTCCAATTGGTCGTAAATATAAGCATAATAGAGCAATTGAGGGTCATCTCCTGAGGGCGTGTGGGGAGGGTGATTTACACTGCAATGTCTGATACTACTGAAGGAGGTAGGGGGTGGGGGGAAGGCCTCGGCGAGCTGAAGGCAGAGATGTTCTTCATGGTGCTGGAGTTGGTTCAGCTGTTGTGACTTGTTGCTTCGTGGTGTTGCAGCTGTTGTGACTTGTTGCTTCGTGGTGTTGCAGCTGTTGTGATGGTTACTTCGTGGTGTTGCAGCTGTTGTGACTTGTTGCTTCGTGGTGTTGCAGCTGTTGTGACTTGTTACTTCGTGGTGTTACAGCTGTTGTGACTTGTTGCTTCGTGGTGTTGCAGCTGTTGTGATGGTTGCTTCGTGGTGTTGCAGCTGTTGTGACTTGTTGCTTCGTGGTGTTGCAGCTGTTTGTGACTTGTTGCTTCGTGGTGTTACGCTATTTGTGACTTGTTGCTTCGTGTTGGTAGCTGTTGTGACTTGTTACTTCGTGGTGTTGCAGCTGTTGTGACTTGTTGCTTCGTGGTGTTGCAGCTGTTGTGACTGTTGTTTTGGTGTTGCAGCTGTTGTGACTTGTTGCTTCGTGGTGTTGCAGCTGTTGTTCTCTCTCTCTCTCTCTCTCTCTCTCTCTCTCTCTCTCTCTCTCTCTCTCTCTCTCTCACTGGGGATGATCACCAACGCAGGCTGCTTCCCCCCTCCCTATGCCTCCACCTCCTCCCCTCCTCCCCTCCTAACCCCTCCCCCTTCCCCCCTGGGGGAAGCTTTGGACCTAGACTAGACCATGTCGTTATCTCACCTGCTGTCACCTGTCTCGCCAGCCCTCCTCCTCCTCCTCCTCCTCCTCCTCTGGTGTTGGTGACTCGCCCCTTTGTGTCCTCCTAGAGGTTGTACTCAGGGTCCTGGAAGGTTGTACTCGGGGTCTGGAAGGTTGCTCAGAGGGTCTAGGTTGTACTCGGGGTCTGGAAGGTTGTACTCGGGGTCTGGAAGGTTGTACTCGGGGTCTGGAAGGTTGTGTGGTTTACCTGTATGATTTTAGAGAGTCTATCTATCTATCTATCTATCTATCTATCTATCCTATCTATCTATCTATCCTCTGTCTGTCTGTCTGTCTGTCTGTCTGTCTGTCTGTCTGTCACAGCCTGTCTGTCTGTCTATTCTGTGGAGAGAGAGAGAGAGAGAGAGATATCAATTAATCTGTTAATAATTTCTCTTTGTTTTAGGAGCCAGTTCATTTGCCTCCACCTCTTCCCCTCCTCTCGTCTGCCCCCTCCCCTCCCTCTCGTCTTCCCCTCCCTCTCGTCTGCCCTCTCCCCATCTGTTCCCCTTCCTCTCTTCCCCTCTCTTCATTAGTCTCCGTTCCCCTTCACTCCTATACCCCTTCCTTCCTCTCTTCCCCACTTTCCTCTCTTC